TCTGTCTTCCCATGGAAAAGCAAAACACTAATAGAATCTATTTATTAGAAGTAGAGATCAAATTGATAAAGCAACTTTTGCTTAAATTTCATCACAATTTTTACACATTTTGGCTAAAACACCAACAATCGAAGCCTGAACTTCAACATTTCACATCAAAAGTAATGTAAAGCACATGTAAAGAGTCCATCCAAGATGGTGGGCAAAACAAGAGAACATCTATTTATTATTAGCTTAGCACCATGCTAACATTAAACTGGTTAAGCTAGTATGCTCTAAAACAAATGACAAAATTTAGAAGCATTCAAAACTTACACTCTCTCAAGGCTCAACGATTTTGATGACATCACTCTGAACTTCAGCTTCTCGTCAGATTTTCTATCCAATCAAATGCTTTCTAGAATCTAAAGAGTCCCGCCCCCAAATAGAAGCATTTGGCTTTATGCACAGCTGCACTACTTCCTAAACTTAAGCCGTCTCCTTGTTTCCTGTCTGCCATTATTGGCCAAATTGATGCAGTTGTGCCTGACCTCAGTAGTCACGGCAACAATAATCAGACACACCTGAATTAATCAATTTGGCCAATAATGGCAAACAGGAAACAAGGAGCTGGCTTAAGTTCAGGAAGTAGTGCAGCTGTGCATAAAGCCCATCGGTCACTTGTTTACACAAATTACTATTTTCTATATGTTGAATGGCACATATAATGCACTAAATAGGGGATAGGAAACGATCCAGACAGTGTAAAAAATGCTTTTCATTAAGACGAATGAAGTCCGCCGCTGCTCGCACACAAGTCTGCTCCGGTCCAGAGACACGGTGGCACAGAGCGGATCATATGTGCCAGCCAGCCCATACGACAAAATTTACTGGATTCATTTCAATTTTACACTGGGCGCTACATTTTATAGCAATATGAAAGAGATTTGGAGGAGAAATGGTTAGACAGACTCGGCATTAGAAACAGCACTGACAAGTATAAGAGAAAAAAAACTGGTGCAATTCACCAACATGAAGTACACACTTTTCAAACTACACATGCTCAGCATGTTCACTGTTTTGCTTTAGTAACAGTTTTACATTCGATCTAAAAGGTAATCTATTAGACTGTGGCTGTCATAAGCTGTCAAATGCGGCTTTACCAAGCTCAACAGCTCTGGGCCGAGCTTTGATTATACGAAAGCTGCTTGATATGTCCCGCCTTGTCTTCCTGTTTCAGTGGAAACTACGTCAACACATTGAATAACGCTGCATGTTTCAAGCCACTTTAATGGGCCTTTAAGAGTCCAGATGAAGGATGTGGCATTCACACATTAAAGGCTCTATGTGTGTAAAACACCCAGTCTCTGCAGATCTGCTCTCTCTCTCTCTCTCTCTCTCTCTCTCTCTCTCTCTCTCTCTCTCTCTCTCTCTCTCTCTCTCTCTCTCTCTCTCTCTCTCTCTCTCTCTTTTCTCTCTTTTCTCTCTCTCTCTCTCTCTCTCTCTCTGTCAGTTCACTGTAGCACTGCAAATGAGCTCTGGATTAATGTCATCATGTGCCAGCTCCAAATGCCACCAGCATGTCGCCACGCTCTCCAGTCTCCAGAGTCCTGCTCATGTGTACCCATCTTAAGTGAGCATGACTGTCTGAGGCCTACAGTATGTGTGAAGCTATCATCTCACTGCACTGATACACTTTTTCTTTTTTTTATCTGTCCGTCACTGTAACAACACTTCACCCATCATTCATCACTAAGGGGCCGTTCACACAGAACGCATTTTTCCATTCCACTGTGGTACTTTTACACTGTTTTTTCAATGTAAACAGGCTAGATGGATGTCTTTAACCATTGCGCTCACGTCTCACATCTATTGCAACTTTTTAAAAACGCTATAAACCTTGCATTCTGTGTTTTTGGCCCTAAGGTTGTCACGAAACTAAGAACATTGCCTGTGAATTTTCGGGATAGTTGCCAAAACTGCTAAAGGGGTCATTGGTAAAAGAAAGCGTTATTGGTAAAACTGTTAAAGTAATATTGACAGAGTTGAGATCTTTAATAACATGCAATACAGTTGTCCAGTGTTTTGTTCAGTCTCTGGTCTACTCACTCTATATTCTATATCAAATATAATGCTGATTCACGTGCACCACAATGTCCTTAGATAACTCTGGCAGAAGCTTATTTCACCTGAAGTTGTTTGCTTTGCATGTCAATCAGGACTACCTTAAATGGCCCAGGGAGGAGACAGGAGGCTGCAGTCTTACCCCTCCCTGTGATCTGTCATCCTCCACAAACGTCTGCTTTACCTCTTTCTCAGGAGGGATTCATTATATGAACAGGCATTAGCAAACGCCCGCTGAGAGGTTTGCTCTCCTCAAATCTAATAAGCACTTACAGGCGAACCAAAGCAGGAGAGAATCGAGGCTGAGGAAGGAAATGTGCCTTTTAAAGAGTTTACACGAGTGACGCCACATAAATATTTAATCGGGGATGGCGACGTGACATGATGTACAGTTGTGTGCGGGCAAGGCGCTGTGCTTAAGGCAAAGACAGTGATTCATTGCACTTATAATTGCCTGAGCTGTTGTTGTAGATGGAGTGGAGCTCTTTTGTCAGCTGACAGTAACGTATTGTGGCAACAGGTCCGTTGCCTGTTCTTAGAAAGGGTTTGAAATGTGATGTGGTAAAGAAAGTGTTTTTGTTTGTTTGGAAATGTTTCACTATGTTTCTGTAAGATGAGCCAATTACAGAATCGTTCCATTAGGCTCGTGATGGGCAAGAGGATATGATGTCATGTGCTGGCTCAGCTATAACTAATGGCTGCTGGAAAACTTGCCAGAGAGTCTCCTCATACAAGTACTTTTAATGCATTATAGTCCATTCATTCGGTCTTTTAACACTGGGTAGAATGATATGTTGTACATAAAGGAAACGGCAAAGCAAATGGCTTTGGTTTGATATCTTTTTTTTCATCTTGTTTGATTGGGCACATTAATGTTTGTCCGTGTGGAAAAGCAGATGTTTTGGTGTTAAACAAAACTTGTTTGCATGGTTTTTTATCCAATGTAATGCCTGCTGTGGTGTTACAAATGTATAATGGGCCACAAACGGAGCCCTGTTGCACTCCTACTACAAAAGGGCTCTAATCTTAACATGATCTCAGATGAATATTGTATTGCTAATTTCATTAATGTAAAGCCTGACAATTATTTGCTAGTGTCTCCAAAAATAAATATATAAAAATAACAGGTTTCCTGAACACTCCAGGTTTTCCGTTGCTAACTGGTTGCAAATGCCATTATTAGCAACCCAGTTCAATGATGTTGTGTTCCCTGAAAACGTAGTTCCAACAAACATTTTGGTGTGTGATTAGAAGCATAGTTTGCAGTCAGTATGTGGACATGTGGACTGAAATAGATCATCATCTTGAGCAAAAATAAGTCATTATAAATGTCATTCCATATATAAATATATTTCATTCTACGGATTTTATTTTGTCAAGAGAATAAAAAAAAATAAAAACTTTTTTTCAGAATGTGGATGTGTGAATACCCGTTGAACCCCAGAGTTTGACGTATTAGAGAACCCATGATTTAATTAAACATTTGGAAATGAAGCAAACTTTAACCCGTAACATAACCCCACGTGTGACGACAGTTTTATTGTTGTACCATCATAGTTTGAACAAAGGATGTCCAACAAAGTTACTTTGGGTTCAGGGAAGCACCGTCTCCACCGATGCATGGTTACTATGATAGACAAGCTGCGACTTGAAATGTAAAGTGTGTTTCCCATACAACGATGTAACTCGATGCTTCACTACCAAAGTACGATGTATCGTTGAAGAAATCAACTAGCTAGTCACGACTCACGACTGTTTCCCGAAACCACATTGTCGCCAAGTGGTCATTCAACCGAATTGGTTTATGACGACACATGTGGTGGCATAATAACTTATTTTAATGAAACTGTTTGAGATTGAATTAATGCTAGATGTTTTGATATAAATTACAGACATAGTATCTGTGGAATATTTCTCATTTTTCTCAGTTTTTTTTGCTTTATTTCCAGATTCAATCATAGTCTAGTTTTTTCATAGTAGCCTAGAGCACATTTGCACATGCACAGTCTTCAAAAACAGTTCTTTCAATCTCTTGACAAACTCAAAGGCGTAAATGAGATTTTTATGTATTCTAAATAAAAGAGGTTGTACTGAATGTCAGCTTGCTTATTTTGCTCAAGATAAGGATTTATTATGTCACGCATGAAACTATGCTTCTTTCGGGAAACATCGACTCGTTGAACTATGCTGATTTAAAATCATTGTTAGCCAACTATGGTCGCAATTTCCATTGAACTCTATTGGTAACGACAGAACTTGCGACCATAGTTGGCTAACGATGCTTTCGGGGAAACGCAGCCCTGGTCGGGATGCTCAAAAAACAACCACAAACAGTGCAATGTTTTGATTGCAACATACTGTAGGAACATAAAGCTTATACAGTGAAATCATCTTATTTGTATTTGTATATTAAGCTGGGATAAATACACTTCACACTTTAAGTACCACGATTGACTTAAAATTTATTTGATGAAAGAAATGTAGAAACTAGTTATTATGGCAGTTATTGTGGATAGCATGCGTTTCTAAAAGAGGTTTTCAGGCTTACTGATGGTCAGTGATATTGTACTGTATATGTATTTTAACATACATTATATAATATAGCCTATATAACATTATATAAACACAACATTTTTAGAAGCAATTAGTCATGATTGATCGATCTCTGTGTGAACATAGGATAGACATAATGCAACATAAAACAAAACAATGTAGAGAGATGTTTCGACTCTGTAAGCGACACAAAGAAATGATGAAGGCTGTAAGGTTGCCAAGATACAAAGGTGGGAGAGCTAAAGCGATGACTGTTACCGCGGTACTGATGATGCAATCAATTGCAATGCACACCCGGACTCAAGCACTAACATCTCTCCTTCTGTACTTTTCTCTCTGCACAGACTGTCTACAAACACTGGCTCTGTGCCCAGTTCTTCCACACCACACAGATGCACTGCAGCAACAAGATCCCCTGCAGGAGGTACTGCCTGGAGGTCCAGCAGAGGTGTCCCTTCATATTGCCTGACAATGATGAGCTCATCTACGGTGGAAGCCCCAGTTTTATATGCACAGGTGGGCAGTTTGACCTGTTCTCATACAAACAAATTCTAGACAATAGACAGTAAAGAAGGAATATTTATGCTTCGAGGAATTTACAGTACCAGACGAAGGCATCACAGTAGAAAGGATGTTACACAAACATTTTGGACCTCCATCAACTGCCTGATTTGGCAGCATTTTTTTCATTGTTGCTGATTTTATTAAACACTTGATCTCTGCTGCCACCTTGTGGCTAAAACAGAAACTTCAATTCTTCCTTCTTTCTGCTTCACACTTACTTTGGATGGATGAACATGATCATATCCTATTTGCACAAAATTTGTGTTGACTCAGTGGATTAATAAATACCTTGTCTTTAAATTATCCTCCATTTGATTTGAATAATTATGCCGATCATGAGCAGGCTAACATAGAGGGCATGAAATAGGCTTTCTCTGCTGTGAATGTTGAGAACTATTACAAGGCTTGTATACACAAACTCTGTTTGCCTGGATATGCTGCTCTCCTAATCCCAGTGGGTGCATGCTGAGTGGCGCATGTGAATGAGTGTTTTGGCCTCCCAATGGCCTGCAGGCTTGCGCTATAATGAGACAGACTGATGATAAATAGGGGATTGAGAGCAGAACCACACAGACTGGCTGAGTGGTCAGACTGTAATTACCTGCCCTTTAATTGATTTAAGTATCCCCACTTAACACTGACTCGTCTCACTGTGCTCAACTTCATCATCATCCCAACATGACCATAAACACCTGTCACCAATGATGTGTTTTTGTAAGATACAATAGGAGATATTTATGAAGAATGTGAACTATGTAAACAAATAGTTTTTTTTTGTTTGTTTTTTTGTTTTAAATCCACATATAGTAAATGCTATTCACGCATACAATGACCTGACTACAATTCTTCTATTATTAGTATGTTTTTAATCTTAATGTCTGGGTGACACAAGTGTTCTGGTTTAAAAAAAGAAATCCTTATTAAAATTGATTTACATAATCCTCTTAGAAAAATAAAATAACATTTTAACAATACTTAAAGGAGTAGTTCACTTTTTTAAAAAAAAAACTGTTGCTGATAATTTACTCACCCCCATATCCTCCAAGATGTCCATGTCTTTCTTTCTTCAGTCGAAAAGAATTTAAGGTTTTTGATGAGAACATTCCAGGATTTTTCTCCATATAATGCACTTTACTGGTAACCAAACGGTTCAAGGTCCAAAGGACAGATTCAATGCAAACTGTTCAAAGGGCTTTAATCGATTCCAGAGGATGAATAAGGGTCTTATCAAACGAAACGATCGGCCATTTAAAAAAAAAAAAAAAAAAAGTTTAAGTTTTATAAGCTCAAATGTTCGCCTTGCTCTTTTCTGTGACTCGTTTGTGACTCTCCTGTTCGAACTCGTTCATCAAAATGAACAATGAGTCAATTCGTTCATTTCGTTCGTTGAATGAACCAAATGACACGAAAAAAGATTTGTTCATTTTAGTAAATGACTTTGGATATGATCAGTTTGCAGTTTGCACTGAAACTGTCCTTTAGACCTTGAACCGTTTGGTTACAAGTAAAGTGCATTACACAGAGAAAAATCCTGGAATGTTTTCATCAAAAACCTTAATTTTTTTTCGACTGAAGAAAGAAAGACATGGACATCTTGGATGATGACAAAAAATATATATTTTGAGAAACTGCACCACCTTGACAAAAGTAATTATTAAGATGTTACACTTGTTACTTTTGGCAAACCACATGACAGTCGTTAAAGTAAAACTTTTCTAGAATATTATATCAAAGTTTTCCAAACCTTATGAAAGCAACATGAATACAAGTAGTACATTTCTAAAAACTAGATTTCGAAAAGGTGTCTTCCTTTATTGTGAACACTTTTATTTTTCATCGACCCTAACGTGTGTCTTTTGCCGGCCTAGGGCTCCAAGAGGACAACCCCTCAGACGCAGAGACAGAGTGCTGCGATGTCCGATGGGACAGCAGGGCGGACAACAGCTCCAAAGGCACTCTCAAAAGAACTCACCCGTCGTGTCAGCACGGGACATCCCTGACCTCGTCAGCGGCCTCTAGACTGTGCAACAGCAGACTCAAACTCTGCCTGCTGGTCCTCGTCCTCCTTCATACTGTTGCCACTCTCACAGCGTCCCACAATCCCACTGGGTTCAACCTCACCTCCAGCTCCTCCAACGAGGAATGACGGAATAGCCACTCGGTAACGCAGTTACAGTGCCGATTCCAGTGACGTGACGGACCGTGGGTGACTTGCTGGTACAGAAACTGTGGACGTGCAATCAAAGCAAACTGACCAAGCTAAACGAACACTGGACAAATCCAATCAAGCAACAAGAACAAGGGACAACACCGTAGCCTTTGTTGAAAGAGGCTTCTAGGGGTCGGAGTTCTCTCGCACCACTTTTTTTTTTTTTACACTGTGTCTATGGTTTGGATTTCTGTTGCACTAGATGACTACAGGATCTAATTCATGTTTCTTTTCTTTTCATTTGGGTCTTTGTGCAGAAAGGATTGGCAGAGACGTATGAGTTAAATGTACAGTATCCAATTGAATATTCCAAGACTGAGTGCGTGTCCATGTGAGCGAATGGATGAGTGCGTGTGCATGTGTGCCTGTGCTTGCATCCGTGTGTCCCACTAAGATGTTCTTCTCGTTTCTATTCGTAATCACAAACTCTCTGAATGCTGCTCTATTCATTACGAGGGTTTTCTGTCAAAGTTTATTCATTGACAAATCGGACTAGACAAATACCAAGACACCCAACAAAAAAAGCCCAGGTTCAAACTCAGATTCTCCCATTAAGATCTTGTAACCTTATTAAGGTAGCCTGATGTTTTTGTTGCTTGTATGATGTAATTTCCTGCAAGGTCAGGTCAGTAGCTTTGGGGGTCTGGGAACGTTAATGTCGCTCAGTTATTTGCTTGAGTGCTTGACTGAAAAGGTCCATGTTGGGATGTTACATGGTATCCAGACCTCTCCCCCACCCGCCCAATCTGCCAAAAGATATCTGCCAATTTTAATGTTATATATTATATTAAGATGTTATATTCTCTACCCTATATTCTCTAATTGCATGTTAGAACAAGAGTTTAGACTACGCTGCTAAAGTTTTAAAGAAATAAATCCAAACAATCTGAAAAAGAGGAGCTCTCACTCCAGGTACCGTCCAAATTATTTGGCAGCATGAAACCAGCCAATCAGGGCTTACGAGGCAAATTACCCCAATCACACAGAGAGGATCCATCATTCCTTATTACAGTAAAGGGCTTAACCACCATCAACACACATTCAAACACTCCTGCATGTAGAGACTCACGTGGCATGAATAACTCAGTGAAAACAATGTTAATTTTTTACTAAGATAGTCACGTCAGCGGGAAGTTGGGGAGCTCAGTCGTGTGGCTCCAGATAGAAGAACGAAGGCCCGTCTCAGGTGGCAGGGCTCAAGGTATCTGCTTCTTTGTGAGAAAGAGAGGCAAAGTTAAGGGCTGATATATTATTTGATGTTTTTTTTGTTCTACAGGTATGCTCAAATGAGGATGTGTCACTGTGACACGCAAAACAAAGCCTTGAGTTTAACTAAGTTCTTGAAAGCCTCAGTGTGAACCTGTTAAAATGACAGGCGTCACACCTGTGTTTCCATCTCATAAATGTTAGATTCATATACATTTCATAGATCAGTCACAGCTAGCTTTAAAGCTAACAATGCTAACTAAAAAAGAAAAACAGTGTTTTGTAGCCATATTTGTGTAAAGCAGGCCAACATAATGCATGCCATAGGAATAAAATGGAGTACATACATTCCATGTCTAATTTTATTCCCTGCCTTTAGCCTAAAAATAAGACAATATTTGTAGATTGTCTGCATTAGGGACGCGGTCGCATTTTCCTTCGTATCTCGAGATTCTGTCGGCGAAATGCAGCAAATGTTTCTCGCACGTGAATTTTCGCAACGGATTCAGATTTGTTAACATTTTGAACACTCAAATATGTCATATTAAACCAATATTAAGCTGCTTAGTTTGGAAGTGACCTCTGAGTAAGTGGTGCTTCATGCATCACTACACTATTAGACCTTTTTGTCTGCGAATTTTTGCTAGATGTGACAGCATCTTTCAGCTACTTTTGGAATCCAGTGATGGTAATATGCATTAACATCAAATGCTATAAAAACTAAACTTCAAATATCAACTCTGGGGCAAATTTAACCACCTTAATTTTAAGAGAAGAAATCAATCCTTTTGCCCTTTTGTGGTTTAAGCTACCATTAGCGGTGACCTTTTAAGGTGTCAGAAGCACAAAGTGATTTTTGTTGTTGTCTGAAACGGACTGCTAATGCAGCTCAGTTTAGCTGATAAAAAGGCATTTGACCTGATCGGTCAAAAACACAGAGAGAAGCTAATTTCTTTCCATTGTTTTTCAATTTTAATATTTTTCAACAATGTACTCGGAGCGCTAATTGTTGGCTGTTCAGGGTTTTTGAATTTGGGCTTGTTGAATTTTATCAAAACTTATTTGATATCAATAATGACTTTTAATATCCTCACCATTGCAGCTTTGATTCATTGCTTTTAGGTCCATCTCTCCTATCTAATGTTCTAATGTTCTCATTAATACATAATTATATTTCAAATAAAACCAATATGTGACCAGAAACGCAATAGCCAGTGCTATGTGTACAATGCTATACCTGTGCTTTAGTTAAAATAGCATGACCAAGGAAGTTTGACCATATGACAAGACACAAGGGCAGTCTGGCAAGCCGTGCTGAGGACTTTGCTGATGAATAATTAGAGGAAAGCACAGAGAGATACAGAATACCCTCCTGAGAGCTTATTAGTTGGTTTATAACCTTCTATATTCAGCTCAGATCACCTGCTCCGGAACAGCAGACGGATCAGAAATTGTTCTCTTTTCATTTTCAAACAAAACTAAATCACCTTCTCCAAATGGGCCTGACGGTATAGGAAAGACGGATAGGAGATGGGATAGAGAGAGATGGGCTAATGATGAACGGCTTAGCACTATTATTATTTTGCTAAGAATTTCTGGATGTTTGTTACAGCAAGAAGACAAGCGGACACACACACACACATTAACACGATTATACATGCTTTTTCACCCAAAAATCCTTTATGTGTGTGTGTGTGTGTGTGTGTGTGTATATATATATATATACACACTTGGTGATGCTCTGCAATTCGAGTTGTGTCATTTTTAACACATAAATTGGACTAATGCAACAAGTGTGAATCAGGCACCTTGTTAGACAAAAACTCCTTTCGAACGACATGCACCATTCGCAACAAAGCGTCTACTAAAACATCTTCCTAAAAGGGGAGTGGCGTTGTGGCTGCTCAGATTTTTTCATGTTTGTAACATGTTTCTCTGTGTTTGTTGGGATTCAATCACCATTTAGTATGTCTCAGCGACTAACGAGATTGAATGTAACAGATGCCTGCTAAAATCGCTAAACACCACCAAACCTACTATAAGATGTATTTTATGCTTGCACATGTGTTATGGTCATTTCCAAGTACTGATCCAGCTGTGTAAGTAGTATTCCACATTGCGTAATCACTTAGCAAGCAGAAGTACTTTCTTTTCTATTTCTGAATCCTGTGGACCTATGCAGCCCTCAACCTCAGTTGTTTTTTCTGTTGTAAATACGTTTTGAGAATGCTAAACAATGTGTGTCTCCGTTTGATTTGGAGGTTTCCTTGTGTTCTGAGTTGGTGTCCTTTTTTAACTCCTCTTTTGTAAGTGTCAGAGATCATTGGGTGGTTTTTGCTGAGATCGATACTGAGAGCTGAGTGGTTTCATCACAAGAACTGTTCTCTTGGTCACAACATCGGCACCTGCAGGCTGTGATGGTATGTGCAAAGCAATGACTTTATGAAAAAAAGACAAAGGTTTAAAGGCATATAGAGATAACATTATGACTACTGGAAAAAAAAAATAATAATATTATATATTACCGGTATATTGTAATATTATAGATGATTTAGTTCAGTAACCTATTTAATTTTTTTACAAGCAACTTTGATGAAATAATTTATAAAACAATCTCACATGTTATGATCTTTTCGAAGGTATGATTATACTGCTAAAATGATTAAAGTTGTGTTCTGATGAAATAACAAATATTGTCTGTTCACTTGTGTCTGGGTGCTCTTTCATTTTGAGCATTACTTGTAAGTCAAAAGAGGTTATAACATGGGGGATTCAGGTCATACCCATTGTAAATAAAATAAAAGAAATAAAAATAAAAATCTAAGTACGTTTTGCAAATGTTCCATTTAAGTAATTAAAGACATATATATATATATATATATATATATATATATATATATATATATATATATATATTAGGACTGTGCAAAAATTAATTGCGATTAATCGCATCCAAAATAAAAGTCTGTGTTTACATAATATATTTGTGTGTGTATATAATTATTTTGTATATATAAATACACACACATGCATGTATATATTTAAGAAAATGTGTTAATCATATATAAAATATTTATATTTATATAATATAGATTATGTATATATATATATATATATATATATATATATATATATATATATATATATATATATATACACACACACATAATTTAAGCGCAAATAATTCTTAAATATATACATGCATGCATATGTATTTATATAAATAATTATAATAATTATAGCACACACAAATAAATTATGTAAACACAGACTTTTATTTTGGATGAGATTAATCGCAATTAATTTTTGCACAGCCCTAATATATATATATATATATATATATATATATATATATATATGAAGAGTTCAGATGCAAAAGCCTCTAAGTGCCATTTGAAATTTTCTTCTAGAATGATCATTTTTATCAAGCTTGTATATTTAAGTTCAGTAATTTCACTTAAATTGCAATGAAGATTACCTATTAATTGTTATTTAAGTGAAATTACTGAACTTAAATATACAAGTTTGATATTTCAAATGATATTTTAAGAAAATTTCAAATGGCATTTAGAGGCTTTTGCATCTGAACTCTTCATATATATATATTGGTTATTTATCATTCCTTTTGAATATTCTCTAAAACTTTTTTTGGACAAATGTTCACATTTCTAAAACATTTCAGATAAAAAAAGAAACCCTGCTCCATGAACAATGTACACGATTTATATATATATATATATATATATATATATATATATATATATATATATATATATATATATATAAAATATATATAAAACTTAAAACAAACATTTAACATTGCTGGAAAAAATGTTTTCTTAATTTTAAGAGAAATTTAAGGTTGCCTTGGTTGCCTTGGTATTTTGACAAAAAAAAAATGTGTGATTACATATCATGAAAATATATATATATATATATATATATATATATATATATATATATATATATATATATATTTTTTTTTTTTTTTTTTTTTTTTTTTACAGTGTAGGTTTACAGGTCAGACCTGATCGACCGGACTAAAGGGCTAACAGAAGCCAACAGTCATGATGAAAGGACAAAAGTAAAGTTGCCACTCCTAAACTGACACAGAAGTGGACCTGACAGGTTATGCCTGTTAGAGTATGGATTTTCACAGATAGTTATCAAAAATTGTTAATGCTAATATCCAAAGCTCAGCAGTGGACTCTCTCAGAAATCAGTGTAACATGCATATCATTATTTTAAAGGCAATTCTAAGTGAGGAGTGTGAATAAGATATATTTATAGTTAAGTATGTTAATTAACCAATGTTTTTAGTTTTTTTTTTCTTTTTTTTTTTCTTTGGGGGGGGGGGGGTTCAAGGACTACAATCAGATATCTCATGTATCAAAACAATATATTTATTATCTTTCAAATTTGAATATTACATTCTAAAAAAGGATAAACAGATAACAAAATAGTGCAAATAAAGTGCAGCACATGGAAAATATGCCTGTGGCAAAATGATTCCATCCAAAAGATATCGCTTTCCTTATTCAAACTGATTATTTCCCCCAGTGAATATAATATGATGGACCTGAAGAATGAAAGCTGTATCATATACTTGGATATTTATGAGCAATATCATTTTCATTGTCATGCGAAGTGTCTTTATTTCTATACCAGACAGGCTGCATCGTTATTTGTGTTTCATCTAAAAAATTAAACATTTCATATATATTGTGTTTCAATAATTCAAGCACTTTTCAAGTACCTCCATAAAAATGTCTGTTTTCATAAGTTTTTGCAAAGGACTTTAATTTCAAACAGTCATATTCAAGTACTTTTTGTTGTTCTTTTAGCACTGTTCTCTGTGTAAATTAAACAAAGATACCACAATGTTATACACGCACTGCTATCTTTTGACGGATCAGCATGATCTGTTTTATGTAAATTACAAGTGAGCTTTAGAATGGACTACACAATTAACTCACCTGTTAAACAAAAAAAGAAAAAACTCTTATGTCAAAACATCATCAGATCTTTCCACCTTGTAGGACAGACTTCTGAGGCAGCGCAACCGTTAAACGATCTACAGCAAAATAGAGCGAGCTTTAGTGAAAAATAAGTGAATATTTAATCAGTACAATAGTAATTTCTCACTAGAAATGACATAAGTGAAAAACTTTGATCAAAAATACACACACTGACGAACAGCCGCAACTTTCAGACACCATCTTTATTTATAGCTCAACTGTCACAGAATGGAAAGCACATGATTGTGGGATTTCAAAGGCAGCAAAGGATCCTTCTTTGTCTTCAAAAATTAATCAGGTATCTCAGGAAACAGGAAGCGAAACTAACATTGCATTCTTCGGACGTGCCTTGATGCCTTCTGACCTTGGAATGCATACTGGCAGCATTGGTCTTCAATAAAGGTCATTAGCACAAAACCACTATTTATTCAATGTTCATGCAACATTTTTGTCTGAAAAGTTTTAATTGGCAAACATATTTATAATGTATTTTTACTTGCTTCAGAACGTTCAGAAGACATTCAAAAATAGCATCACATATTTACAAAATGATAGGCCTACAGTTGAATTTAAACTTTCAGAGAATATTAATAAATAACATGTTTTTATAACTGAATGGTCAAGTTAGCAAATCGTTCTTGTTGCCCAGCACCGATCTAATATTATCATGTATTTTTTCTATAGTTTACCAAGTAAACAAAACACCTACTAAGTACTGTACTGTAAAAGGAAGCGTTACCCTAACACTCAGGACAAGACCAGACTCAGCAATGTCGGTAGCCTATTTGTTTTATAATTATCACTTTAGGGCATTAGTTATTGCGTGTTTTAAATGTATAAATGTATACAATTTAATAATTGTATTTTTTACTGGGTGCATAGGCCTATTTGTATTAATTCATGAATAATATTAGCACCGGCTCTGATAATGGGCTATGCGTTAGCCGGCAGCAGAAGGTTCCGCTGTTTCCTCCCGGAACTTCCTAGAAGCGACACCAGTGTACAGTCAGCAGCAGTCCGGCTAGATTTGCTGCTAGCTACAGTGGATCAGCTGTTATTTCACGGCATGTTCGTATAGATGACCGTTTCTTCTGCTCGTAAGCTCAGATAAAGATGTGCCGCTGAAGAATGCGATAAATGTGAGTAGTTTTGAATCAGACTGGCAGCAGATGTGTGTTAGATATGGCTAGCAGCTGTATTAGCTGTGCAGTACATGAAGTCCAGAGGGAAAAGCTGCTGTCAACATTAATATGTCATCGGCGTGTTTATGGTTTCTGTCATCTGGGTTTGGACTTCAGGGTGTTTCTCTCTCACGATGTTAACAGCTGGCTTTAAAACAAAGAGCGGATAAGCTGACACAGTGACAGTGTTTTACTGTATAATTTGATATTGGGGTCAGGTCGTGGAGGAGCTGCTTAATGAATTGCATTCCGAAAGTAATGTTGATTTTGGAAAAACAGCTCTAAAATGTTTCTGATATGTGCAGTATTAGAATAAGTACTGTTCCTCATCTGCATTTCTGTGTGATTGGATTGGTCAAGACTGGACTTGGTCCCTAAACACCCTGAGGGCTTCAGATACCACTGTGTTGTGTCATCAGAAAACACCTTATAGTTTGTTGTTGTTGTTGTTGTTGTTTAGCTATGTGTGTGTTTAGATAACTTACAATGTGTATTTGCTCTAGTTTTCTGCTCCTGCATAAAGTGCTATTGTACAAGCGAGGATTATATCAGAGGGTAATACTAGTACGTCAGTCTCATTGTACCATTGAGAGTATCATTGAGAGTTATGCATTTATTGACGAGACCGTTAGTTACTGCTTGGAGACTTTACATAGTAAATGGAATATGTTACTTACTTTATCATGTTAATGCCTGTTTTTTTTTTTTTTTTAATAATCTGGTGAATTAAGTACAGATGAAAAGCACTTAATCTCATTTGATTTATTTTCTCTTTCTATTTGGAAATGTATTTGGAAAATAAGTGGAGAAAAAAAATAAAACGGTGACAAAACAGATTAATATTTTAATACAAATACTTCCAGCATTTTCTGATTGGATGAGCTACATTCAAGGTTGTTGTAAAATACTCACATTATATTTAAAGTATACAATTTTAAAATATACATTTAAGAGACTGCTCATCGAAAAAACTGTCATAATTTATTCTCATTTGTCATTCCAAACCTGGATGACTTTCTTTATTTTCGAGGAACACAAAAGAAGATATTCTGAATAAGTTTGATAATTTATAACATTTTTGGTCACCATTGACAGGAAATTTATTTCTTAAAATATTCTTTTTTTTCCACAGAAGAAAGTTAGACATACATGACAGAATAAATATCCTTAATCGTACTATTTTACGTGCCAACCACCTGAGTTGGAGCCAGTGAAGCATCGAAGATTCTGAAGTAACTTCAGTGAGTCTGAAGTAATGAAGTAACTTCAGTAAGTCTGAAGTATTTAAGTAACTTATATAAATAATCCAGATTAATTAAACATTTTAAAAAAGACTATAGCAATTAAAATTTGTTGGAACTTTTAGTAAATTACATGTTATGTTGTTCAGTTGTCTCTTCAGAGAATCCTGTTTGAATAATAAAAAAAAAGTCTTGCTTTTTAATTTATCCAGAATCATGCAACCCTAGGTTAATCTAAGGTAATGTTGTTCGATTGTAGAGGTCGACCGATAGTGGATTTTACCGATACCGATATTTACAAACATGTTTAGGCACCATCAATAACAAAATCTCTGACCTTACAAACCAACCTTCTATGTTTCTCTAGAATACGCCAGCAGTGAGTTTCGGAGACTCTCTTGTCATCAAGGTTGCCGCCATGGAGAAGCCATGGAGATTATGGGCGGCACTTGAGGCGTGTTTGCTGACCGTGTGCGCGTGGTCATGGGGAATCTGCCGCGTCTCCCTGCTAGCCCTCATTCTGACCTTCCACCTGTACGGAGGCTTCATACTGCTGGGACTCATCCTGGTCTCTGTGGCCGCCATCCTGTACAAGTTCCAGGACGTGCTGCTCTACTTCCCCGACCAGCCCTCGTCCTCGCGTCTTTATGTTCCCATGCCGACGGGAATCCCACACGAGAACGTGTTTGTCCGCACCAAAGATGGTGTACGGCTCAATCTCATCCTGCTCCGTTACACGGGCGAAAACCCTGCCACCGCTCCCACCATTTTATATTTCCACGGCAATGCGGGGAATATCGGCCATCGTGTACCGAACGCATTGCTCATGCTGGTGAACCTGAAGGCCAATGTGGTTCTGTTGGACTACAGAGGCTATGGAAAGAGCGAAGGAGAACCTTGCGAAGAGGGACTGTACAAGGACGCGGAGGCTACCTTGGATTACATCATGACCCGGTCGGACATCGACAAGACCAAGGTGGTGCTGTTCGGCCGCTCGTTGGGAGGTGCGGTGGCCATCCGCCTGGCGTCGGGAAACCCGCATCGAGTGGCCGCCATCATGGTGGAGAACACTTTCCTGAGCATCCCGCACATGGCGGCCACCCTGTTCTCTTTCTTCCCCATGCGTTACTTGCCGCTTTGGTGCTACAAGAACAAGTTTCTGTCCTATAGACACGTGGCTCTTTGCCGTATGCCATCTCTCTTTATCTCGGGCTTATCAGACCAACTCATCCCACCAGTGATGATGAAACAGCTGTACGAGCTGTCCCCATCTCGGACTAAACGCCTCGGCATCTTTCCAGAGGGTACGCACAACGACACCTGGCAGTGCCAGGGTTATTTTGCCGCCCTAGAGCAGTTTATGAAGGAGCTACTTAAAAGCCACGCAAGTGAAGAGACGGCCCAGGGGTCATCCAACGTCACCATAATCTAGAACAGTCACTACTGTTGACTGCTCTATAAATCTGGACCCGCTCAAAAAGAATGTGTACAATTCTCCCCAACTTCCTAAGCTCTTTCTTTCCATTGATATACAATTTCATTTATTCAGTAGTGAAGGCTACATTTCTTTAAAGCCCTTAAAATATATTTTGTCAGTTTTTATATTAAGTTTAAATGCATCTGTCTCAAATAATTGAATGCCCTCTTAGTCTTTGTTGTTTGTCATTTTCAAGCAATTTTCACTTATAAAGGGCTAGTTCACTTAATTACTCACCCTCATGGCGTTCCAAACCCGTAAGACATTCTTTCAGCTTCGGAACTCGAATGAAGATCTTTTTAATGAAATCTGAGAGCTTTCGGTCCCTCCATTGACAGTCTATGCAAGCAACTACCACTTTCAAGCCCCAGAAAGGTAATAAAGACGTCATTAAAGGAATCCATGTGACTCCAGTGATTTAACCTCAATTTTACGAAGTGACGCGAGTGCTTTGGTTGCGAAAAATAAATAAATTACCATTTAAATATTAATCTCCGGCACACGTTTACGTATCTTCTACTCTCGCGTCAACACAACCCGTATTTTGGTGCTCTTGTGAATGTGCTTTGGAGAGATTAATATTTTGTAAATAAAGTGGGTCCTAAAATTGAGTTTAAGCCACTAGAGTCGCATGGATTACTTTAATGATGTCTTTACTACCTTTCTAGGGCTTAAAAATGTTGTTGCATAGGCTATGAATTGTGAGACAGAAAGCACTCAGATTTCATTCAAAAAATCTTCATTTGTGTTTTAAAGATTAACAAAAGTCTTGCAGGTTTGGAATAAAATAAGGGTGAGTAATTCAAGACAGAATATTTTTTTTAGGTGAACTAACCCTTAAAAATTATACAATAAGCTCAGCCACTTGCTCATGCAATTTGAAAATATTTATTTCTTATCAAGGATAGCGGTTTTAAATGCAGGAGTAAAATAATGTCTGTGGTTAACATTGCTTGAAGAAAATGTTCACATTTGTTTTACCATTTAAAATATACATGTACAAATCATAAGTTGGTTACAAAATGCAAAAACACTTTTTGTGTGCGTGTACTTTACAACGCTTTAAAAGTCACGTTTTTAGTTATGACTGTATGTAATTTATTTTAATCAGTGACCTTATTTTACGCCTAAATGATCAACCGCTATCCCATAATGTCCTAGATTTTAGGATTAATAAACTGAATAACCCTAACAAATTACTAAACAATCTGAATAACTCTCTCTATTGATTTTTTAAATGTAATACACATCTTTTTTTGGAACAAAACAGAGTGCTCATTGAAATATTTTTTTTGCCTTTTAAATTCCAGTGAAAACAGTGAAATGGACCAGGGGCAACTGATCCTAGTTCACTCATCTTTGTCTATGGCATTTCATGCATTCAGTCTTCTGTGCCGGCCGTGATGTGTCGAAGCTTTATTGTATCCCACTGCCTTCGTTTTTTTTACGGGAGGTTTAAAATCCACTCAGGAAATCGGCTCATTGTGGTTTAATCCCATGTTTTGGATTTGCATATGGAGCTGTGTGTGAGAAGTATAGATTTCGATACTGATTTTCATGTGGGCTGCAGTACACTGTGAGCACTGTATGAAAATACCAACACAACAACCCTAAAATATGTTTACTCTCTCTCAGGCTTAGAGTGATCTTCTGGAAGTAAGAGAGAAATCGCACATAACAGCTGCTTGACAGAGTTCCAAGCACAGTCCATTTGCACAACTTGTAAATAAGACGTTTCCCTTTTTTAATCAGGTTGGGTGCTTAGTATCATTTCTCTGCCCATGACTTGCTTTGTCCTGTTGAAAAACCTGTCCATTGGCGACTGTTGCCCTGTAGTCACACATCCATTTCCTATCACTCTTTGCAGTTCCCTTAAAAATCAGAAACATTCACACAAAAAAGAGAAAATTGTCATTATTTACATTATTCCATACCTGTATGACTTTTTTTCTGAAGAGTCGCTCTTTTCAATGCAGTTACATGTAGAAGCCTAAAGCTTCAAAAGCACTCAAGAAATGAGGTATCCTGAAAGTAGTCCATATTAATTATAAATGAATCATTTAGAATGTGAACAGCTACAGCTGATGATTCAATGAAGAACAAAATTCAGGCTCCAGACGACTTGAAATAAGAGCGCCAGTCATCTTGAAAGCTATTGTTATTGCATAAACTAGAGCGACCATCACATTCTTCGAAATGTCCCTTTTCATGTCCCACAGAAGAAAGTCCAATGGGTTTGATAGAATAAATGATGCCAATTTTTCAATTAACTATTTAGCGTATTGAATCGGGGGTAAAGACATTGAGGTTTGTCCTTTTATGTAGCCTCACGTTGGTGGTTGACTATCGAGCGCTCAAGAAAAGGTGGACTTTGCAAACTTTGCCCATTATGTAGTGTTGGGTCTGTGCACATTTAAGTCTGTTATTATTGCATGCCTTAGTCATTTGCTGATGCACTTTACACTCACATCTGTTGTAATGCGTGAAAAGTGCCTGTGAATGTTAGAATTACAGATTTCAAGGCAGAGTGATCCTATGCCAGTTTGCATGCAACTATTGATATCTTCAAACCAAGAGGGTATGTCATGCTTCCAAAGTCCACCTTTTGGGATTCGGCGGATTTTTTTTTCGAGCTGGGTGTTTAAAGAGATTGTATAGTAGCACAGTTGAGCTCTAGATGTCTTCAGTTATGTCTAGCGTTATTTATGGTCATTAGTTATGTAGAGATGGGACGGTTGTAAGAGAGTCAGAAGTGAAACCAGACAATGCAAGAGAAAAAGTTCCCAAGACACTGGGATTTTGGTGGTTTCAATACATAAGATACTTTTGTATATCAGTTTATTGACCTTTTTTTAATTTTAAAATAAATATTTGCAATGGTCCTTATTGATCGTATAGGCCTAATTCATAAGAACTGCCTCTAAACATTATGAGGAAATATTTCCAAATTCATGTATCATTTGCAATGTGTCATTTAGTTGAACTCACAGTGATGTGCCATGATACCTTATTGAATGTCTGTGTGGTTGAGTGTAAACCTTGGAACAAAGATGCTGACAAATGATAAAATGATGAAAATACTACTTTAGAGTTTACTAGATTTGACTAATACTCCTTTGGCATGTTCTTTTGGGCTAGTTTGTGTGTTGAAATCTCATTTCATCTTGCCCATAATCTAAATATATTATATAATATAAAGCGCTGCTCATGTTTTGTATTTGCTTTTTACAGTAAATAGCTGAGTGGAAAGATTTGGTTCTGAATGTGCAAGGAGGGTTTTCTTATTCTTTCAACATTTGTGTTTTGAGCTATGGATTTTCTATTCGAATCATGTGTTCATGTACATACAATTGAATCACACTTTCTATTTTCTGTCTGGTGACATGCAATAAACTAATCAAACCCTTCTGATAACTTGGCTCCAGAAAGTCTGTTTGTACTTTAAAGCCGCTGGTTCCTGTTTCTATTTTTAATGTTTTTTTTTTGTTGTTTTTTGTTTTTTTTTAGTCTATACCAAGAATATCATCCGTTTTACTTTGTCACTGACATTTACTTTCTTATTTGCTATTAATTTATAGTTGGCAAAAGTAAGCTTGACATTTGAATTTATCTACGCTCTTGACGTAGTTTGTCGGAACAGAGTAAGTGATGACAAAGCAACTTTCGGGTTGCAGACAGTGCAGTGTTAATACTGTGGGTGTGGACAGCTTGGCAGGAAAGCGATACAAAAACTAGACTGTTAGCCGGGTCGGGTGTTTGTTGCAGACAGGACATTTTTTGGGGGGGTGAGTACAGTTGCTGTTTATAGTTGGACTTCAACTGTAGATCTCAGGGGTCTTCCTCTCTTCCATATCAACAAATATCAGCTTGAAGAGGAAGGGCAGTTATAAAAGCTCTGATCCGGGACTGTTCTGAAAGTAACGTGCTAAGAGCTTCAAAAGGAATATAAAGATGATTGGTTCATGCCATATGAAGGTGAATTGGATTCGGCAAGCATAATCAAGACCTCCAGACGACCTTCTTTCCAAATACAAACCTCTCACTGCACTATGAGGATCGTTATTGATTGTAGTCATGTTTTGAGGTGGGTTGAGATCTTTAAAGAAATAAAGCTTATTCAGAAACCGTCTATATGCCGTTCAGGCATAATATAGACGAATAGTCACTATCCTGTTTCCCTAAAAGTTAGTTTCTACCATGCCTGCTGAGGATTTTGGTCCAGGTCGGGGTGAAAAGAGAAGGCTACCCTGGCTGTTTCTGGTGCTGGTTGTTGCTGCCGTCACCACCTCCTCCCTGTCTGTGATCTCCTTGTACCATGTGCTGGCCTTGAAGGCCGAGGTGGAGGGTTTGAGGGCCGAGGTGTTCCGCAAAAGAGAGGAGAAAAGCGGAACGCTGGAAGAATCCATGAAGGGGGCAGAAAAACAAACCCATCAGCAGGAACAAGAAGACATCAATGGCAGAATTGAGGTTTGGACCACAATGCATTTACGTCAAATTTTCTTCTACACTGTGAACAAATATTGTTGGTTTAACTTAAAAAATGAAGTAACTTGGTTGCCTTACAATTTTAAGTTCATTGAACTGGAAAAATTGAGTTAATACAATGAAGGAGATTGATTTAAGCATCAGAAACTCAAAATATTATGTTATCTGAACTACATAAATTAGTTAAGTTGATTTGACAAAAGAAAAAATGTTGTGATTACAAATCATGAAAATATTTTTTTACAATGTAAAGAGTGTTGTAATTAATGATTTGATTTAAGGCATTTCGTAAATGGCAGTTAGTTTTCACATGGGGAAGTTAGGGTGTGTTTAAATTGTGGAAATTTAGTCAATATATTTGTAGTCAAGACATGGGATTTCCCTATATGAAACTATTTCATTTGAAACTTTTCAGACATATTCCTGGCATTAAAAAGTGTGACAACTAGCCCAAGTCCTCCCTGCATGCCTCATCCTAATTGGGGAAAAAGCTAGTTTAACTGGTGATAAGCCTAAATTAAAATATATTAAATATATATCCTTTTCAAGTTGGCCATCATCATCTACCTTACACAGTGACTACTGTGAGTTATGTGCCAATAACAGACTTAAGCTTCTAAAAACTGGCTAAGCTGTTTTTATTCAGCAGGATTTTTTTTTTTTGGTTGTCTGTTTACAGTATATGCAGCAGACTGAGATACATGAGACCACAACAGACCATACTGGCATGTCAAAAAGGAGTGTGGGGCATGTCTCAAACAAAGCAGGCAAGCACGCACCTCTGCTTATTCTGTCTTGTCTTGTTTTTTTGTTTTTTTACTGAGAATAGCTGTGGGCTGTTTGTGTTTACTGACAGGAGTGATGCAGAGCACAGATGGTGTAAGATTAAAATCTCTCAATGTCATATGTGTATATATATAAAAAAGCATGCACATTCTGCAAAAGTGCACCCTCATACATTTGCATATCCAGTTACTTTATGAGTCACTGAATGCAAAAAATACCACCGTAATCATTCTCATCTCTTACTGACAGATACAGATTAAGAAATGTGTTATACGAATACATGCAAATTCACGGTACATGGACACAATTCATTTCTGTTTTTCTTGTGTGTTTTAAACTCCTCTGCCCTTCCACAGAATCCCAAGCCTTCTTACAGATGATGGCAGACAACAGGAAGAAAACCTTCCAGAAAGGTACTGAAGTAGTTAGTAAAATCATAGTATTATAAATGTGTTTTTATTTCAAAATGACGGATGGTTAAATTGTGTTCAAGTGATACATTTTCCAATTGTATGCCATAAGAGGTCATTGGACTATGAAAACTCACTGTAACTTTCAGAATTCAAAACTTTATTCCCAGTCCAATAAGGGGTTGGGGGTGTTCAGTTCTTGTTTTTCATCGAAGTCTCGAGAACCGCCTGAAACTTTGGGGGTTTGCGAGCGAACTGGAGCGAGTAGCCTCACTCACATTGTGTTTATAACCCAACTCGTCACACCGGAAATGGCTTTCCAGGCCAAAGCCTTTGTGGCTAGGGTTTTGGTCTGACTAGAGGGGCTTTTGCCCCCGGGTGAAGTCAGACTGTCAGTTGGTAGGGGGCCACCTAGTGGAAGGGGTGTGTTGTGTGCTTGAAACATGCTCTTTATGTGCTATATTGGGGTAGTTGTGAAAACAGCGTTCATTGTATAGGGGCGCACGCAGGGATCCCATTTGCTACAATATACATTTTTCCAGCCACCTGAGATTAACAAGGAGCTATGAGATTTGCGAGTTTCTTCAAGGGTGGTCTGGCTATCTCAAGAGTCAAGCCCTCTCCTTTCACTCCTTTTGCTATTTCTTTGGAGGCCTAGGGTCCAATGCAATGTTAAACATAAATTTCTATAACTTGAAATGTTTAAGCACGTCACAGGTAAGAGGCTAGTATTGTGCTTTTTTTTTTTTTTTTTGAATTGTAGTTTTTTTCTTTTATCTAGTGTGATTTTATTTTTTCAGAGTCGCTAGTTCATACTTCAGATTTATGTTTATTACATGTTAATTATTTTAATTAATTTATTTTTTGTTGTCAGAGTTTGCTTTGGAATTAAGCACAGCTATCCCATGGCACGTCGGCCTAAAGCGCGGCTCTGCTCTGGAGGAAGATCAGGACACCATTTTAGTCAAAGAGGAAGGATTCTTCTTTATCTATAGTCAGGTATATTCTCAACTTATGACACATTCTTGAAGTTCTTTTTTTAATTGAACTTTGAGGCATTCCAACACCATTCTCAGTGTTTTCTCCTCATTATTTCAAGCTTTGCTTTTCCCAGGTCTACTATACAGACTCGACGTTCGCTATGGGCCACATTGTGATTCGTATAAAGAAAAATGTTGTTGGAGACGAGAGTCAGCACGTCGTTTTGTTCCGCTGTATTCAGAGCATGAATCGAGTCAATCACTTCAACACCTGCTACACTGGAGGTAAGTGCAAAGTTGGGTGAATCTCACAAAAATATATCCAGGTCTTCTTTTGTTTGGGGCAATCGATTTGTTTTGCTTTGTTATTATTATCCTTCATCCATTGTTATACAATTAAGCATATTTCGTCAAAATTACTAGAATGTATTTGGACATTTTACTTCCCAGGTTTTTTAAATGTGTATATATTGACAAGTAAATGCTACCGTATACTCTGAAATTTATGTATTTATATATAAATTTCTATATTAAATTTATATATATCTAAATATAGTTATTTTTATTATAGTCATTACAGTAATGATAATTTGTTTGGTGTGGGGTTTTTTCTTTTGTGCGTTACAGTAACAAGAATTTATTTATCTTAATGGTTCGAAAATAAGCTTTACTTCCTTCATGCAAAATAAAAATGTTGTTCACTTGTGGTCTTTGGTTCCAATATAGTCCAGACATGTTCTTGACAGTTTTTGAGAATCACCCAGAAACTAGACCACGTATATTTTCAAACAGTATGGGAGGCCAGAAATAGACTACGGGCCTATTATAAATGGCTGTGATGAATATGTTTCTGTGTACAGTATGTTATATCATATTTATTTTAGAGAATATTTTTTTGCATATATAGATAAATACATAATGTTTCTACAATTACAAATTAATGTAACTGGGGATGTAATGTACAGGTGTAGTGAAACTGGACTCTGGGGACAGACTGGAACTTCTGATACCTCGTACCCATGCTAATATCTCTCTGGATGGGGATTCCACCTTCTTTGGAGCAATAAAACTGGCCTGACTATGGGACAGGACTTTGGATCAGACACTGAACGAGACTGGATGTTATCCATTTATGGAATTGCCATTGACATTCACTGGACTTCACGAATACAAAAGCTGCTCTATGCTCTGGAGTATTCTTGAAACTTTCTTCATAAAGCTACATTGTATCTAGTATAAACATTCATCATGCTTGTTTTTTATATCTCACCTCACCTCCTTCATCAGACGTGCGCAAAATTGGCTGTATTTAAGTTTTTTTGTGTCAACATTCATGATTCATCAGTCTTCATAATCTTCTATGAAAATGTAATAATAACCTATGAAATGGCTTTTATATTGTGTCTTTTCAAGTGTCAAACTTTTCAAGTGTCAAATTCCACCTGATACCATTTTTCACAATCCAATCGATTCCAGATGGATAAAATGAAGTCCAGCTCAGACTTTTTTTTACTCGGTAAATATACTATTTGACTCTACAATGTGTTGTGAACACCATTTCATGTCGATTTTAATGTCCTGCTTGGCTTTGTGAATGGACACATACACACACCTATAATATTATTTCTTTTTATAACCAAATATTTTAAAATAATATTTAAAATATTATTTTAACAAAGCACTTTTCCTGTTATAACATAATAGTATGCTTTCATACATTACAGTCGTAACTGCACACGTTACTTCCAAGATTGTACCAGCAGATGGAGACATTATCTCACTGGAAGATAAGAGCTTTGGAAAGTACTTTCTGTTCGTTGGTTATATTATAGTGGTTATATATGCTTTCAGTGTATGACTTTGTCAGCCACATATAAGGAAAAAAAAAATCTTCATAGTGTCACATCTAAATAGCTCGCCAGATCCGCTGTCAGACATGGAGTTGATTGCTTTGCTTAGCTTCATACATGACACACGTTCATGTTAATGAGCTTCATTGAGAATGGTCTTGAATATTGCCAATATTATGTCCTGCCATTAGAGGGCACATGTTTCCAAGACATTTATTTTTTATTTCTCTTTATGAGACACTGCCGAGATGAAGATGACCACTTTCTCATAAATCAAGGTTCAATAATGGAAGCGTCATGTGTATATTTTGCAGTCTTTTGTGTTAGATTGTTATGTGCCCATTTACCAGAGAACAACTAAAAACGGAACTTAAAGCAGAATGCATTTGATAGGAAACCACAAAAACATATTTAAAATGTTTTATTTATTATTTTTTTTAAGTTTGTTATTCTTAAAATGTTTTACTTATTATGCAAATACATTTTTATTGTATCTAAATATAACATTTTAGAATTTGTTTTGTAAATGATGATATTCCCTTGTTCATGTATATTTGTGGTTCTGGTTATGAGCAGTTTTAGTTTTTATTTAATTTATATTATGCCATATTTCAATCTTACATTCTGTCTGTCTCTGTCTTTATATATATATATATATATATATATATATATATACACTCACCGGCCACTTTATTAGGTACCCCATGCTAGTAACGGATTAGACCCCCTTTTGCCTTCAGAACTGCCTCAATTCTTCATGGCATAGATTCAACAAGGTGCTGGAAGCATTCCTCAGGGAGTTTGGTCCATATTGACATGATGGCATCACACAGTTGCCGCAGATTTGTCGGCTGCACATCCATGATGCGAATCTCCCGTTCCACCACATCCCAAAGATGCTCTATTGGATTGAGATCTGGTGACTGTGGAGGCCATTTGAGTACAGCGAACTCATTGTCATGTTCAAGAAACCAGCCTGAGATGATTCCAGCTTTATGACATGGCCAGCGCCGGCCCGAGCCTTTTGGGGGCCCTAAGCAGAATTTGATTTGGGGGCCCCTCCCACGACGCGGAGTCACCTGTGTTTGACGATTATTGACATAAATGTCACGCAAAAATGATACATTATAAATGAATACACTGAGGTTATGTATTAATAAAAAAATAGATGCCTACTTAAATAAAAAAGTTTGAAAACAGTCTTAAAACTGTCTCAAAACATATACAATAAATTATTTGCTAAAATTATGACAAAACTGAGAAATTAGAAACGTAAGAGCAATGATACTTTGGCCTATCCTCCTGGGACCCAGGAATAGACTTTTGTCCACTGTAGTGGACATTATATTTTATTGTATTTCTATGACACCATGCATGTCACATTTTTTTTTCTGGATGTCCTGTAAAGAGCACATTCAGGGCAATACAGAGATACCAAATGTTTGGAGGTTTCACCATGAAAACAACTTCTCCTTGGTCTTTAAAAATGTCTAACATTAATTTAGTGATCAAATGTAGCACTCTTATTGAAATATGGTAATATATTGTAATTATAATTTAAATCTAACTACTTTTCAAATTGTATTTCATCAACCAACATCTCATGAAAATGTTATGGGGTTTCAAATGAAAAAAATGACTTTCCGTTACAGGGCATTGATTTCATTCATGTCCACTGTAGAGAACATCAGGACATAAATCATGTTTATCAGGCATTCTGGGAGACATAACAAGTGAATATGTAAATAAATTATACGTCAATATTCTTATGACATATTAGATATTATTATTAAAATGTTGCTTATTATTACGCCAATGCTTACACTTCTTTCCTCATTAAATGTTGCTCCAAGAACACATTAATGTGCAAATTAGATACAGTGTATAGATACTTTGCATTGAATGGGAATATTAATTTATGCCAATTTGACCCATATATTGCATAAAGTAAATTGGTGTATCAATTAATTCCATTATATCTTTCATAACATAGTTGATAATCATCTTTATACAAATTTTAGTTCAAAAAAATCCTGAAACCCCAAAATGTATTGGTGATTGGAAAAAAAATCCCATTGTTTTTGCCTACACATTGTATGTCATTTAATTTTAACAACTGAGTCCTGGTGTCCACTACAGAGGACAAAGTATTACATATGAATAAAATATAATTTTTCAAAAAGGTTTTTTTTTTTTACCATTTGTTTATTATGCTCTAAACAATGATGATGACATGAAAAAAAAATCTAAATAAAAAAAAAAAAAACTTTCTGGGTCTCAGCTATTGTTGAAAACTAAAAATATTACTAGCCTATTTCTCAACTGTCTCAATACAGAGTAACTATCCTCAAAATCTTTATTATTGTTATTATTATTGTTGTAACAGACTTTGTTATATAGTACATGACATAATCAACACAGTCTGTTACTATAATACCGGTTATGATGTTCTGGCGCTCGTTGTATGTGTGTATGCAATGTATTTTTCCCCTCGGGGCTTGCCGTAGATGGGTCGTGCGCACTTGCTAGGCTACTGGAGTGTCGCGGGTGTTTGGAGATCTGATGTGTGGTATAATAAAGTGGAGAAGAGTTCAAACTGCTATGTTTATTATTTATTCAAACTGCTACCCTTACACCTTGAAGGATAAGTTCTCCTGCGGGCTATTTTCTCCAACTTAAACCGATACCGTGACTAGGCGCAGTTGCGCACGAATTGTCTATGCACGCGCGAGGTGTCTAGAAGATTATGCGTATGACTTAAACGCTGGCAGACAGAGCAGCAGTTGTAACTTGTAGGCAGGTATATTGACCATTAAATCAGAATTTTGTTGTCTTGAACTATTCATTCAGTCATATTCATTCATTCATTGATTTATGTCACTTGTTTAAGTCATCTAAAAAAATAAAAATAAAAAATAACCTCGATTAGGGGGCCCCCTGGTGGCCAGGGGGCCCCAAGCAGCCGCTTAGTTCGCTTATGCCTCGGGCCGGCCCTGGACATGGCGCATTATCCTGCTGAAAGTAGCCATCAGAAGTTGGGTACATTGTGGTCATAAAGGGATGGACATGGTCAGAAACAATGCTCAGGTAGGCTGTGGCGTTGCAACGATGCTCAATTGGTACCAAGGGGCCCAAAGAGTGCCAAGAAAATATTCCCCACACCATGACACCACCACCACCAGCCTGAACCGTTGATACAAGGCAGGATGGATCCATGCTTTCATGTTGTAGACGCCAAATTCTGACCCTACCATCCGAATGTCGCAGCAGAAATCGAGACTCATCAGACCAGGCAACGTTTTTCCAATCTTCTATTGTCCAATTTCGATGAGCTTGTGCAAATTGTAGCCTCAGTTTCCTGTTCTTAGCTGAAAGGAGTGGCACCCGGTGTGGTCTTCTGCTGCTGTAGCCCATCTGCCTCAAAGTTCGACGTACTGTGCGTTCAGAGATGCTCTTCTGCCCACCTTGGTTGTAACGGGTGGTTATTTGAGTCACTGTTGCCCTTCTATCAGCTCGAACCAGTCTGGCCATTCTCCTCTGACCTCTGGCATCAACAAGGCATTTACGCCCACAGAACTGCCGCTCACTGGATGTTTTTTCTTTTTCGGACCATTCTCTGTAAACCCTAGAGATGGTTGTGCGTGAAAATCCCAGTAGATTAGCAGTTTCTGAAATACTCAGACCAGCCCTTCTGGCACCAACAATCATGCCACGTTCAAAGTCACTCAAATCACCTTTCTTCCCCATACTGATGCTCGGTTTGAACTGCAGGAGATTGTCTTGACCATGTCTACATACCTAAATGCACTGAGTTGCCGCCATGTGATTGGCTGCTTAGAAATTAAGTGTTAACGAGCAGTTGGACAGGTGTACCTAATAAAGTGGCCGGTGAGTGTATATATGTTTATCTATCGTCTGTCTGTCTGTCTGTAGAATGTTTGTATTAATAAGATTAAAAGTATTAAAGTGATTAAAATGTCTCAGAGAGTTGTGTGGGTGGATGAATGGGTGGATGGATGGATGGATTGATGGATTCATTCAGTGCCCTACAACTGCCTTAGCTTTTATTTTCAGTTTAATTGATTTACTTTCGAAAACTGATGAATAAAGATTATTCTGCCAAATCTCTGAGAAAATTTTCTCACACTTACCTTCATAAGGCCTCCACACAATTGGCTTTATGCACAGCTGCACTACTTCCTGAACTTCAGCCAGCTCCTTGTTTCCTGACTGCCATTATTGGACAAACTTGATTAATCCAGGTGTGCCTGATTATTGTTGTTGTGACTACTGAGTTCAGACACACTTGGATTAATCAGTTCAATAATGGCAGACAGGAAACAAGGCACTAGCTGAAGTTCAGGAAGTAGTGCAACTGTGCATAAAGCCAATTGTGGTTTTTTTTTTTTTTTTTTTTTTTTTTCTCGCAATTTCTAGGCCAGAACCTTTTCTTTGATTTAGATCATTCAAATGTATTCTGGTCCATTGAGAATTCTTGGTGTAATATGACCAAATCCTTGAGCAGCTCACCCTCTGAGAGACTACACCTCCAAAGCCTGTCACTTGGGGAGTCTGAGGAAGTGATGGGTACTTTAAGATTGTCTCTCAAGCTGAAGTATTAACTCCTCAGCAGGGAAGGAGCAGCCCGATTCAGAGATCAGATCAGTCAAACACACTTGGGCTCTATTGGGAGGCTGAATGAAGATCAATGGACACTTTTCAGCAATGCCTCTTGCTCCACTTCTTTTGATTATTTTTCACACACAAAATAAGATTGCTCTGACTTAAGTTTTTAAAAGGCTGCTCTATTGATTTTGCTCTCAAAATGATGACTTTTCTTTTTAAAAATAGACTCGCAGGCTTCGTGCTGATCATTTTGATGTCCACATCTCCTGCTATTCAGCTGATCCCATGTGCATTAACTTAAGACTAGGGAAAATTCTGGTTTCGCCACACACAAGTCGGTACCTTTGACTACACTATTCCCAAATTTATTTTAAGGAAGTTGGTAAACTGAGATGTTTTCAGATTTAATTAAAAAAGGTTGGTACATTTTGAAATGTACCAGGTTTATATAAACAGCCCATTCTCACCCCCAAGGCGTCACTTAACTGACGCCTTGGGACGCATTTGGACATGCTTCAATATCTGACGCACAGGCGCCCTTTAGCGTCAGTTAGATGACGCCGTAGGATCGCGTCATGTAAGTGACGCTAAAGGGCGCCTAAAACGTCAAATATTGAAGCACGGTCAAAGGTGACGCCTTGGGGTGAGAATGCGTTGATATAAAACAATTTGATAAGCAGTTAAATGTGTCAGTTTTCACACAATGAAAATTTAAGCTTGAAAAAAATAAGCATAATATGTAGCTACAATTAAAGCTGTAGTCC